GCTGCCAATCCCGCAAGGATCCCGCATACCATAAACACCAACGACACAAGCGACCAAATGACACCCCAGCATTGCGACGAACCGCCATACCGCTTAGCGAACACGCTGGCATCAGACGAGTTGACCTTGCGGAGGATGAGGTCGTCACAGATATCCCAGACGCTGTAGAGAGAAGACATGACGCCGATGAAAAGCTGGAGCGGCGTTAGCAAGGACGTTTCGAGGGGACAGGGAAAGACACCTACGACCATGAACCTCAACGCCTCGCCATGTTCGATGAACCAGAAGGCTACCAGTAGCCCTACGCTGAGAAGAATTGTGACGATAGTCAACCAGTCTTTTCTCGCCCACCATAGTGTCAGCAAGAAGCAAACGCCTAGCACTATACTCGCTACTTTGGATGCCACGATGTTGAAGCCACAGAAGGTCAGCAGAGCACCTATCAATGAGGAGCCCAAGTAGCCAGCAGGCAGAGTTATGAATTGCTTGCCGCCGCGCATATGCGTTACACCGCCTTCATGGGGATCAAGGGAGATGGACTCCACTCGCCCGCCGGTACAGCAGGATGTTATTGCATGAGAGAATTCATGAAAGGCTATGACGAGCATCTGTGGGTTTCGTCAGCTATCAACATCTCCCATTGTCCCACGCTACCTACATACCTTGAACGGCCACAACACCCACCGTACATACGGCAAGTTCCACAACAACGCAATAACGACAACATACGCAGCAATAACACCCAGCGTAACCCCTTGGGTGTGATTTACACTCAATCCGCGGCGCTCAAAGTGATGCGAAGCCTGCGAGGCGACAGCCGGCCCCGCTGTGACCAGGGTCCGGCGCGCTAATTTGGCGAGCGTGCTGGTGTTGCGAGGCGACGCTGCTGGCGGCATGGCGGTGTAGTTGTACGTCTCTGTGGTATGAAGTGTTTGAGCGTGGGCAGAGCGGAAGCCTGGGTACTGAGCAGCCAAAGTACAGAGGAATGAAGATGCTGTTCTTGTTTTTCTGGTGAGTGAAAGCGGAGAGTGGCTGGAGAGAAGACGTGGAGCTGACGCGTTGTTTGTGGAATGCGCCACGCAGCACGCTAAATTTAGCAGGGATGTGGCTGTGTCGGCATTTTGTCATCAGGTACACGGAACAGGAGACAAAGCAGACTTGGACACTGGAAACAGTAGATGATATTGTATTGAATGGGATAGTCTGTGTATTATGTATACCGCTTGGTAGAGTGCGGCGTCATGCTGAAAGGAAGCGGTTCACTAAGCTGTGCGAATGCATCTTCGTCCCAAATACCAGGATATGAACTGAGTATGCATCGAGAGAAACCCTAACCTCGGCGCTCCTCGTCAATGTGTTCCTGATGCACTGACATGCCCCTCTCGGGCGAAGTATCGACATCTTTGTCGCCATACTTCTCAGATCCAACAGCACCAGTAGCGCCGACAGCGCTGTGGCGTCGCTCCCAGTATGAGTCGTCGCGTTCGTTACGGCTGATGTATCCAGCCGGGACCCACTTCTTACTGGTCCTGGCAGATAGGCTCGGGTCTGAGTACATGATATCGACGTTCTCAAGAGACAACGATTTGGTCTCGAAGACGAAGAAGTAAACGACACCGGCGGCGACGAAGTTGCAGGCGAAGAAAACGAAACCGAAGGCGTATCCGATGCCGTCGTCAGCGTAAGGTGTGAGGAAACCGATCAGGAAGTTGCCTAAGAATGGTCGTTAGTAAGCGAAGTCGGCATAAGAAAGCATGTTGCTTACCGAGCCAGTTGAACGCTGTAGCCAAAGAGGCTTGCTTCGCGCGAGTCCTGAGCGGGAAAGTTTCGCCGATGATTACCCAAATGAAAGGACCCCAGGTGGCGGCGAAACTTGCGATGAACATGCAAGCAGCAACGATCATAACGATACCGGCAGTGGGGTTGTCTTGCGGTGGGAGCGCAACACCGATGATGGCAAAGATGAGCAGCCAAGTAGCTTGCCAGAGACCGCCAATGACGAGCGGCACACGGCGACCGACTCGCTCAATGAGGTACAACCCGGGGATCGTCATGGCCACGTTGACAGCACCAAGAATAAGTTGAACTTGGAGAGGATCATCAATGCCTGCGGATTGGAAGATAGTCGCGCCATACTGTGACGATTAGCGGCGTGCATGTGAGGTCGTTATTCGAGGGAACTTACGTAGAAGAAGTAGTTGACACCAGTCCACTGCTGGAAGAATTGGATAGCACATCCGACGAGGGTACGGTATGCAAGACGCGGGATACCGGATGGCTGGCCAGTGAAGCATTCCACCCAAGTACCTTGCCCGGCGCTCTTTTGCTCGTTGATGGAATCCTCCATCTCCTTGAAGTCCGAGTTGACCAACTCGTGGTTGGGGTCGTGTGCCAAGCCTCGGAGACGAGCCATTGACATGCGCGCTTCTTCCCAACGGCCTTTACCGGCCAACCATCTGGGCGATTCTGGCGTGAAGAGTACACCGAAACCAAGAGGGAGCGAGAAGCCGATTCCGAGGCCAATGACGATTCTCCAGGCGGCATCGCTGTCTTGGCCCGGATTGTCACGGACACCAAAGTTGATAATGTTGGAAACTGCATATAGTAAGTACTATGTAAGCACACATATGGGCCAGACCTACTCAGGATGCCAACAGTGATCATAAGCTGGTAAGATGCGACGACGGCACCACGAATCTCTCGTGGGCAGACCTCAGACTGGTACATCGGTACACCAATAGAGAGAATACCGACACCAAGACCAGCAACGATACGACCAATAGTCATGTGGACCCAGGTGTTCATCGCTGTGACCTGGATGATGTTGCCAATGACGAATATGAGCACACCGATGGAGAGATTGCGGCGACGACCAAACCAGTCGGCAGTGTAAGCACCAGCGAGCGCGCCGATGAGAGTACCAATGGACATGAGGGATACAAGCAGGGACGAAATCGTGGGATCGAATGCTTTCTCGCCATTGCCCTGGTCCTGTCCAAAACGCTGGATGAAGTCCTTGAAGATGAGGATTCCACTGATTTGACCCTGCATTACGTGAGCCACACGCATTCACATGCAGAGATTGGCAGATACATACCGTGTCGTAACCGAACAGGAAACCACCTATCGATGTGATAACTCCAAGAATGATGGCTTCGATACCGCACTCGGCACCGCGAACGCGGACAGAACTTTTCAGAGTCAATATAGCATTCATGCATAATCGAACGGCGTCAAACGTACACTTTGCCCAGACCCATGGTTGTAGTAACGATTCGATCACGACAAGACCGATGTGCGAGACAAGATGGATTTACTTATTCGGCACACGACGAATCTTAAGTATCGATGCCAATTCCAGTCCCGTGTCCCGTAATGCGGTAATGCCCAGCATCGCGCCGAGCGTTCGACTCCGGGGCTCCTACGTCATACGCGCCACGCCGTCACGCGAAATTGCGCGCGAGCGGCCTTACCAGCTTGGCTTCACCTCCTCCACAGCCAAACAAAAGTGATCCGGGGGTCTGAAACTGCAGTAGTGGGCTTGTCAATGCGACGCAGCCGCTGGGGGACAAGGGGCGTGTATGTGGGGAAGCAGGTCGCGATTCGATAGCCAAGCCAAATCCGCCCGACGTTCCGGGAAGCCCACCAAGAGATAGACGGCCTCGAGCACACATGGATCGGATCGTGCTCTCACATGCTCATCTGACGGTAGGCGTTGTACAAGGCGTCCTGCTAGATCCCTAACGTGCAAAGTGAACGCCTCTGATGCGCACCCCGCATTCAGGCGCAAAGCACTCAGCGACGCGCTCCAGGGACCGTTGTGCCGCACAGCCGGGCGCCAGAAACTTGGTGACGGTCGCGTGACTTGTGGATATCGACTCGACGACGCGTATTCTTCGGCCGGGGCCATGTCGGTGAAGATACTTCACTTCAAGATGCGACAGACGCTCTCGGCAGTGGGGATGATGGAGATACGTACGACCCCATCCGGGCCTGTGCAGCCTCAACACCTGTGCTCCGACCATCCCTCCGACTCTTTGAACAATTGCCGCGCGAACCGGCACAAGCTTTGTCGCTGTGCTTGTTTTGGACTGCAATCTCCGATCGCTTGCAGTCTCTCTCCGGTCAAGTAAAGCGAGGGACCCAGTTTGGATGCAACGTAAGCCAGGTTGCGGCGACGGATTGGTGCGAGAGCGGCCCACATGAGGCTCAAGGAAGGCACTAAGAACCTTCCATTGCCTTGGCATGTCCGACCCGCATCGGACGAGAAAGTGAGGCCGTAATCTCGGCAGTTCCCACGTCGTGGAGTAGGTGTGAAGGCTTTGAGGGGCAGCCTGCGTGTTGGGGAGAAGAAGGGGTGTGGAGGTTGCGGAGACTGGAGAAAACTTCTCCTCGGTAGTAAGCACTGGGGACGAAAGCTGGAGAAGGAACAACAGCAACCTTCTTGCGCAACTCTCCCTACAACATGACTTGTGTCTAGGTAATTTACACGACAACTGACTCTCACGGCTTCTTGCTCTGTGCGGTTTAGCGCATCCGGTGGGATGTACATAGTAATCCTATCACCGCAGAAGGGAAGAGACACTGCGCCGGCAACGCGCCGATGCCAGGTACGATCTGAAACGTCGTCATTCCCGCATCTTTCGATGTATCGATGTCTGAGTGAACAAAGACAATGCCCTTCAACGCGGTCTGCCAAGTCACGTGCGGCGTTCCTTGGTCCTTCTAGGCACCGTTGGAACGCGATGGTGATGTCATCATGTCGCGATACTCAGGAGCCAACTGAGAATGCTGTATCAACCCAGAACCTCTAACAAGAACACTCGAGAAGACATTGCGGAGTACACCAAACTCAAATTTCCTATAGACAACCTCCGGACTCACAAGTAGATCACAAAATGGTCAAAGACAACGAAACCGTGATTGAGTAAGTGGCCCATGAACGTCAACGCAAGCAAAGTGCTTACGGGATCGCAAGGGAGTTCAACGAGCTGGTCAACATGTCGGCAGACGAACTACAAGACTGGCTTGGCAGCGAAGAATCCGCTGGAGCCGGCTGGTAAGCCCTGCCTGCAACGAATGCAGTGCTGACGTTGCGAATCTTATGACATGCATATCCTCTAAGACGCCTACAGGTCCAAAGACAACGGCTCCGGCGAGACAGTCGGCCATGATTCGGGTCGTAAAATCGTTGCTATACTGCAGAACAATCCGCAGAAGGACGCGGACAAGTATGAACAAGAAGACATTGACCACATGCGCAAGGTGGTAGCATACTGCAAGAGGCATCTTGCGCAAGAGGACAAGGCGAAGAAGGACACGGATAGCAAGAGCTACAAGAGCTTGAAAAACTGGGGTCACGACGCCCAGAAGGCTTGAGCATTTGCATGAATGGGAATGATGCTGGAAGAGGTGTGAACTCGACACAGGCGGAACAAGTAGCGATATGCATATATCGAGGCCAAACCACAGACTTCCAATACTGTCACAACAATAACACGAACACATCCCACTTCGTCATCTTGTGCAGGGACATGGATTTCAAGACGGCCGTATCAAAAGTGGAGTAAAATAGAAACAATGCTTGAAAGACATCTAGGTAGAAGAGGCGTACAGGACGAGTGTCTTGGTCTACAGAGCAGTCGACCTCTTGCGGCCAGCGAAGTAGTTTCCCTTTGATTCGTTAGTTCTCAGTTCGAGTAGTCGGATCGGTGATACTTACTTGCATGCCACCCACGCACGCTGGCTGCTCCATTTCCTCCGTCTTTGTTCTCTCAGGTGGGCTTCTGCGCATGAAGCACTCGCCTACATGATGGCCCTCATCGCACGCAACGACCCATTGGCCCATACCCATGTCCTTGGGAGCGTGCCTGACACCTCTTCCACCGCCACCTACAATCAGATTGCCTGGTCGGTAGGTTGGATCCGCGCGCATACGCTTAATCACGCTGCTGTGGATGACGGCATTCGCGGGTATGTCGCGCGTCTCACCCTTGGGCAAAGGCCATCGGATCGCTTTCCATGTCCCATCCTCCTGTAAGTCCATGCGTCGGAAAGGCAGGTACTCCATTATGTTCCACGAAACGACGCCCATGCGATTGGCACCATTGTTGAATTGCAGGACGTCGTGGATACGGCCTTTGGTCGCAGCGCTGTGGAAATGTTTGTGGAAATGCGTGTTAGGGTGTTCGCGATGGTGCGAAAGGATGTTGTCGTCGTCAGTGTAGCCAGCTGTGTCGACGGATTGCGCGCCCGAATTGGCGATGACGGGTGAGGGCGACGCAGGATCGATTGCAATCATCGGGATGTTGTTCTGCGCTCGCGACACGTTGGTTGTGGGCTCCTCGTGGCAGCAACTCAGAGCTGCGAGCTTGTCTTCGTCAAAGTCGAGCCCAGCTTTTTGAGCTTCGCGCACCATCCACACCAGGGCTACGTGGCTCAGTGCTGCGTCGTCATCACCAAGAGGCCAGCCTCCTCCGATGTCCTACACGACGTTAGTATTGTAATTGAACCTCCGTGACGAGCACACTTACTGCATGGCATCCAGGAAACCAGACTTCCTGAATATCCTGCTCGCCATCTTCGTCTTGAGAGTTGAAAGTTCCCGCAGCGTCATAGGATCGCATCGAAGGAGTAGCAGAGCCGTGAACGCCATCAAGCTGGGAGCAGTCCGCGCTCCGGCTGCGTACGCCTGAAGTCTCATGTGGATCTCTGTAACGCTCAGGTGGTGGTGCCAATGTATCTCGCCGACCTCTACTCTGCTGTTCGTCGTGGTCTTTCTCGTCTAGGTCATGGTCTTCATGATCACCATGGATCAGATCCTTCATGTGCTGCTGGTGTCTGTGGCGATGCTTGTACAACATTGACCGGTCGGGCTTCTCTTGAGAGATGAGATCTTGTCTGAACTTTGCGCGTCGTTCATCGATGGATACTGCATGTCGTATTACGTGGGCGCTGCTTCTTGCGGTGTAGGGGAATCTGCTACGTTGCATCCAGGCGTTCTCGAAAGCAGGCACGGAATTGACTGTATCGAAGAGGCCCAGAAACCGAATGGGTTTGACGGGACGGCTGAACGTCTCGCGAAACGCGCACATGAATTCCAGAAGCTTTAGCTTCTCAGATTTCTCGCCTGGCTTGCGATCTTTGCCGCCTTTTTCGTCCGGTAATCTACATTGCCATTTCTGGAATGTTCTGAGATAGCGTTAGTGGAGAGTTTATGCATGCTACATGCTATACTCACTTCCATGCGAATTGACACATCTCTTCGTTTCCAGCCTGTCGACAATTAGAAATCGCCTGACAGATATTGGGCAGTTGCTTACAGAGAGGAGACCAACATGATCAAGCATCTCTGCGAGGAAGCGAGCGGTATATGCACCACGCGAGAAGCCGAAGAAGAAGATATCATCGCCAGGTGTATAGTATCGCATTAGGAACTGTCCAGTCCATGTCAGCCAGCTGCGACCGGGTTCCGTCCTCTAGCCACTAAGCTGAGGATAGAGCTACCTCCTGGGATGGCTTACCTTGTATCCCGCCATGACATGCTGATCGAATGAAGTTCCTACGCCAGATCAGATTCCATGCATCACAACGAGCCGTGCCGAACGTACCTATTGCGCTATCTTTTGCCTTCGCGTACCATGACTGGAACTTTTCCCATCGACCTGTTCGGGTCATGGATCCATTGGCTTTCGTAACATATGTACCGATTCCGGGCTGGTAGTAATGGAACTGATCATCCCCATTGCGATCGAGCATGCGATAGATCTTGAGGATGTTGCTGTCGGAGTCTGTGCCTGAGAATTTGTTGCCTGTACCATCGAAGCACAGGACAAACTTCTTGGTCACATGGTTCGGACGTCGTGACACGGCTCCGTAATCCATAGGGTTGTTGTTAGGTGGTTGTGCGGATACCTGAGGCGAAACGCTCGGTAGGCGTGGCTGCTCTGAGTTCTTGCGCGCCATGTTGAGACTTGGGGCTTGACGAGGAAGAGCACCTTGACAGGAATCCAGCTTGGTCGTCAGAACGAAGCAGTCGCGAAGTGTCAAATAGCCAAGTAATCTCTATCAACGCGGGGATCGGCTACAAAAGCCTAACACAACTGACGCGTGCTCCCCGTCTGGTCTGTCTCCAAAGCTTCCGAGCGTATCAAGCCACATTAAGATACTGATCGCCATTGCTAATGCGGCTTGTAACAAAGCTCGCCTATCGACGCGTCGATGTCGCAGGTGGTGGGCTGGGAGTAGTCCCGCCGCTAATAGCAGCCGCTGATCGTTCTGAAGTGCCGCTCGCCCTACAGCGACTATTGACCTTTGAAAGCTGAGATAAACTGACTACCATGCGCTATACGACGCCCCCACCCTGAGTTGCTACATCGATGATGCGGCAGCCACTCAAGCATCTGAGCGTTGCCTGGCAGAAGGCACGACAGATACACCGCATCCTGTCCCGTGTCGTGCTGCAATTGATTGCAGAAAAGAAACGCATGTGGCCCTCGACTGCAAGTAAGCCAATGCCACCGTTTCGCCACTATCCCGGCTGGCAATATGGTGGTAACCGATGGACGCGATGCTACGCAGTCCAGGCAGGCAAGCTCCGAGAGCTAATGCTGAGCGCGTTGCTCGTGATCGCAGTGGTGTCTAATCCAATTGGACTCGGAAGCAGTGCATTCAACAAGAACGCGCCGATCAGAGAGGAGAGGTTGGTGTAGGTCTGCTCGCCGACATGTGAGCAGGAAAAGCACGTCGCGTCGATGGTTGACGCTACCCTTCCAGCGATCATTTGTGGGGGGGCGGCCCGTGCACCAGCCGTCTCGATTGCCGTCGTCTCGACTATCGATCGCACCTCCCAGTCACCACAACCACCGCCGGCGTCTTGGACGAACCGGACAGTAAACCTTACGGCTTCGGGACAGGCCGTAGACCACTGACCGCCGTCGCTAGTGCCTGCCTGATACCGCACCCTACGCGGAGATTTGCAAGCTGGCACTCCTGTTGTTGACCGCCACCACATCAGCTGAAACTCACTCTCGTCTGTCCACTTGCTAGCACATGACTGCGCGACCATTCGTCGGGAAGTAAGGTCGGTCAATTCCGGTGCCGCAAGCGCTAGAGTCTCCTTCCACTACTCAGCCGAAAAAAGCTGAATCGGGATGCCGATCGCTTGATAATTCGTCTATGGCTTTTGTCCACGTCTCTGTTTGGAATGGTCGCGAGTTCAGGTCGCCGTTCCTGTCTATCATGTTATCGACCGCCAGGGTTGCAACATCTTCGACACGTTCCCATAGGGAGACAGCCGAAGTGAGACCACAACGACTCCCAGGCAACCAAAAGCGCTGAAGCCTGAAACGTGGCAGGCGTACCCACCTCCTGGCTACACGTTGCTTTTGGACTTTTCGCAATGTCGCAAAGGCCATCCATGGATCGTCACAGGTGGGTCTAGTTAGTCGTTTCCTCATGGAGCCAATGGTGCTACTACGCTGTGGGTCTTGAGGACCGCTCACAGATCATTCCTTGGACTTGTCATGCAGTGCTCGATACCCCTCTGTCAGTTCTTAGCGAAGGTAGCGCAGAATCCGTCTGGCACTACCCTCCACAAAGGAAGTCACGACCAATGAGCGGTCGGACATTTGTAGCCATCAGAGGTCTGACGATATCAAGATCCGGACGCTACTCACATCATCCCGATGCAGGCATGGGTTCGTCCGCCCTTGAGGAAGCCGCAGGACACTGTTCGCCGAGTGCATATGCTGATCAACACACCGTAGCTGCTAGCGATCGTCGCCACGCAACTGGCTCGCTGCTGCTTGCCATGGCCAAGCTCCTGCGTGGGGAGCATTGCGCCTCCCAGATCAACAGCAAGCTACGTTGAACTTACTTTGTGAACTCCGTCCGGCCCTGGGATTCATATTCTCCCCGTTCCCATCTTTTCCACATGGTCATACACACACTTATTCATCATGCCTAGCCAGATACAAACATTGATCGGAAAGATCAGGAGGAAGCCGACGCAAGCCAGCGATGGCCGAACAGCGGAAGCGTCGAGTGGCATGAAGAACCACCAGAAGACTGGCATCGTCAGCGACATTAGAGGTCTCGGTGTTAAGGATGCCAAGTTCGCCCTCGATGCCATTACGACACTCGCATCCGGTGAGCCTCTGGACGACAAAGAACTTCTCCTCGAGAAGGGAGTTCAGATGCTACAGGGTCTTCCTCTGAACAGCGGTCTCAGTGCAAAGGTGTCGGATGGTTTCATCAGCATGCTCTGGAATGATTTACCACACCCAACACCTACGCATGCCGGCCCATCGGCACGATACCGGAAGCACGACGGCTCAGGAAACAATCCCCACAACCCTGAAATGGGCAAGGCAGGTTCGCCATATGCGCGAAATGTACCTCCCACCAAACCGAAAGGTAAGTACCCTGTTGCTATCATCCCATGCGAATCAGGACTGACAACTTCTCAAGGGCCAAATTTACCTGACGTTGAAGACGTATACGAGGCGCTTCTCAAGCGCAGTGGTCCTTTCCGCGAGCACCCGTCTGGTCTGAATCGCCTCTTCTTCTCCTTCGCAACCATAGTCATACACGAATGTTTCCAAACCTCTAGGACAGATCCTTGGATCAATGAGACTTCGAGCTATGTTGACCTCAGCACCCTGTACGGCAATACAGAGAAGGAGCAACATCGCGTGCGAACTTACAAAGATGGCCTGATCTACCCAGACTCAATCGCCTCGGAGCGCATCATGATGATGCCCCCTGGTGTAGTCGCAGTACTGTTGATGTTCTCGAGAAACCACAACCACGTCGCGGAGTCGCTGCTGTCAGTGAACGAGGACGGCAAATACAAGCCCTGGGATACTCTGGACGAGGCAGGCAGGAAATGGTAAGTTTGCTGCAGTCCTTGTACGCGATATGAGCCTAACAAGATTTCAGGCAAGACGAGGACATATTCCAGATCACGCGCAACATTAACGTCGGTTTCTTTGCCTCAGTCGTACTGAAAGACTATGTCGCTGCCATCCTGAACACACCACGAGCCAACTCGGAATGGTCTCTTGATCTTGGTAAAGAGATCAAGCAAGGCGGCACACGTGTCGAGCGCGGCACCGGCAGCCATGTATCCGTGGAGTTTGCTGTCCTTTACCACTGGCACGCTGCTCTCAGTGCCGCGGATGAGACATGGATGGAAGATATCATCCGTTCCGTCTTTCCTGACATCCGCCACATCGACGATGTGACAATCGAGATGTTCCACCAAGTCATGAAGGTATATGGTCATGACTTGATGAGCAAGAAGCCCTGGGAGTGGACTTTTGGAGGCCTTGAGCGAGGCGCTGACGGCAGGTTCAACGATGCCCAACTTTCCGAGCTTATCAAAGACTGCATCGAGGAGCCTGCCCATGCTTTTGGTGCCCACGGTACCCCCGCCAGTCTAAAGGTTGTTGACCTCATGGGCCAATTGCAGGCCCGTGAGATGTTCAATGTCTGCACGCTCAACGAGTTCCGCCGGTATCTTAATCTGAAGCCGTACGATACGTTTGAAGATTGGTGTTCCGATAAAGAGACAGCACGAGCAGCCGAGCTGTTGTACGGCCACATGGAGAACATGGAACTCTATCCTGGATTGATGGCCGAGTGCACCAAACCTGCCATGCCGGGAAGCGGTGTCTGCCCTGGTCAAACGACTGGTCGAGGTATCCTGGACGACGCCGTCGCATTGGTTCGCGGTGATCGTTTCCTGAGCTACGACTTCAACAGTAACACCCTTACGCAGTGGGGAGCGGCTTTGCTGGCGGAGACAACACCCGGTGCATACGGTGGTGTGTTTCCTAAGCTGCTCTTCCAGGGTCTTCCGGGTGGATTCAAGGGAACTTCCAGCTACGCGCTGCTGCCCTTCTACACCCCCAAAGCAGCGAAGGAGATTCTTCAAGGAAATGGCGTGCTTGAAAAGTACGACCTCAGACGCCCTCCCAGCGATTACGACATCATCAGCGTCCAAACTCAGGAGGGTTGCAAGAAAATCTTCGAGGATCGTGAGAGTTTCGTTGTCATGTACCAGGCAGCTATTCGCAACTGTACTGCTGGACATGACTTCATGATCGGCTGGGACGAGCAGAAGAAGCATGATGAACGCTCCAACATTCTGCACAAGGTCTTCTTTGAGGAGGGCTTCGAGAAGAACATCAACGAGTTTTTCACGACCAACGTACGCAATCTCATCAAGAAGAACTCCCTCAAAGGCGCCAAGGGCAGGATGAGCATCGACATTGTCCGTGATGTTACCAACATCACGCCAATCCTTTGGCTCGCTGAGCGTTTCGCACTCCCGCTGAAGACACAAGAGCAACCTAGAGGCTTGCTCTCCGTCCACGAAGCTTTCCTAGCGTATCTCGTACTATGTAAGTAACCAGTCTAGCGCTCTTGAACCTGCAACAGGTGCTAACCTCCGCCCAGTCATGTACCAGTCCTTCAACATAATGCCGCATAACGAATGGAAGCTGCGTGCAGGCGCTATGCAAGCCGCAGCCCCCCTCCGCTCCATCTTCGAAACCCATCTTAAGACGCAAACTGGACGTCTAGAAGGTTTCGTCGACTGGATGGCCAAGGGCTCCGCTTTCGAGGTAGGCCCACACGCCGACCGCATCTACCATGCATTAGCGGACACCAAGCTGCCCATCGGAGACATGGTCGGTGACTGCATCGGTATGGGAGCGCCCGTCGCCGGAAACCTGACACAGCAAGCCAGTCTGCTGATCGACTTGTTTCTATCTCCTGGGTACGAAAAGTACAAGACAAGGATCGTCGAGCTATCGCACATGGACCCTACGACCTCGGACCGCGAACTCCAAGGCTTCGTTTACGAAGGCATGCGCCACGTTGGTGTTGTTCCCGGTCTACCTCGCGTTGCGACGCGCGACATTACCGTCAACGACGGCGTCCGCGGCCCTGTTTCCGTC